GTTTTTGTGAGAAAGCGTAGTCCTCATTCTTCTCTCCAGTGAACAGTGTCTGAGCATGTATACACTTGGACTTGCCCATGAAGTCAAAATCCCAGCCCCCCAAGGTTCTGCAGGATATTCTAGTGTTAGCACATGGAGCTTTGGTTTGAGTGAACTTCTTTAGAGGTGTGACATGCTTGGGATTACTCTTTAGGACTTAATAGGACTAAACATTGTTTATTTAAAATATTGGTTTATTTCCCCAGCACAATACAGAGGTGGTTTTCTCTTCCAACATTTTCACTTTCTCTGTCAGAGCAATCCTGGAGGGTTATTATTAGATTCTTTTTCTATCAGCATGTCTGAGAACACCTTGAATTGATGGAATATAAATCACTTCATGGGAAACCTAGCAATGCAGGTCTTTAAAATGAGGCTGAACCTTATCTAGCATGTATGTGAAGGAAGTCCAAATTCAGAATAATTAGCCCAGCTAATTTTTTTAATTCTAAAATCTTTTTAAGCATTTAGTTAAATGCTTTTATTCCAAGCATCAATCTTTTGATTGATGCTTGGAACACAGGACAGTCTTTTGTTACTTACTAAGAATGTTCTAGTCTCAATATGAGTTGACAAATTGTTTTAATGTACTATTTTTCAGCATACTTTGTGTTTTATGACTACCAGTTCATTAATTGCACCGAAAATCCAATAAGCTGAACATGGTGGAAGGGGGGACGTAAAACTTACGGCCTCAACGTGCTCCTGTCCTGTCTCTTGGCACCTATACTTCTCTCTCCTGCTGACAACATGGGCTTTGCTCAATTGTAGACTTAGAAAATTGTAAAGAAGTCCCTTCATGATTGAATTATGTGCTACGATCAGATTTGGGAACACACAGTCTGGTGCCGAGAATGACTTCTAAAGTGTCCCGTGTCCCTGCCACTATCCTGGTTCATATGACGTTCTTGGCGGTTCTAGAGCTACAGGATGGACCCTCAGAACTCCACATAAGCACCACCCAGGAGGAGTGCAGGATATTCATGATGGCCCCTCTGCTTCCAGTATTGTGTGGAAGTGCCTAAGGAACCACTGGGGTTAGTGGTGACAAGCTCTGCAGTACTGTGGGAGGATTGACATCAGAACTTCCTTACTCTGGCACAAGGAATATACTTGTTTCTGTTTCTTTTCACTAGAATAAAGAAGATATTTACTTCATAGTCTTGAATAAAAAAGAAGGCTCAGGTCTGGGATTCAGTGTGACAGGAGGGACAGATGTGGAGCCAAAATCAATTGTGGTAAGTGACAATGTCGAGATGCTGTCGGAAGAGTCACTCCTGAAGCAGCCTCAGAATTTGATCAGGACAGAATTCATGTCAGTGGGTTCAAAGAATGCTGGTGTCTGTTCCCTGCCACCAAAACAAAAATAGAAAAGTGGGGAAAAAAGTAGTACATAACATTATCATTGACAAAGAGACACAGTGTTTTTTTTTTTAACATCTTTACTGGAGTATAACTGCTTTACAATGGTGTGTTAGTTTCTGCTTTATAACAAAGTGAATCAGCTATGCATATACATATATCCCCATATCTCCCCCCTCTTGCATCTCTCTCCCACCCTCCCTACCCCACCCCTCTAGGTGGTCACAAAGCACCGAGCTGATGTCCCTGTGCTATGTGGCTGCTTCCCACTAGCTATTTATTTTACATTTGGTAGTGTATATATGTCCATGCTACTCTCTCACTTCATCCCAGCTTACCCTTCCCCCTCCTCGTGTCCTCAAGTCCATTTTCTAGTAGGTCTACATCTTTATTCCCGTCCTGCCCCTAGGTTCTTCATGACCTTTTTTTTTTAGATTCCATATATATGTTAGCATACGGTATTTGATTTTCTCTTTCTGACTTAATTCACTCTGTATGACACACTCTAGGTCCATCCACCTCACTACAAATGACTCAATTTCGTTTCTTTTTATGGCTGAGTAATATTCCATTGTATATATGTGCCACATCTTCTTTATCCATTCATCTGCTGATGGACACTTAGGTTGCTTCCATGTCCTGGCTATTGTAAATAGAGCAGCAGTGAACATTGTGGTACATGACTCTTTTTGAATTATGGTTTTCTCAGGGTACATGCCCAGTAGTGGGACTGCTCAGTCTTTTGGTAATTCTATTTTTAGTTCTTTAAGGAACCTCCATACTGTTCTCCATAGTGGCTGTATCAGTTTACATTCCCACCAACAGTGCAACAGGGTTCCCTTTTCTCCACACCCTCTCCAGCATTTATTGTTTGTAGATTTTTTGATGATGGCCATTCTGACTGGTGTGAGGTGATACCTCACTGTAGTTTTGATTTGCATTAAGAGACTCACTTTTAACACATAGCGAGCGACCTTTAAGATGATGATACATATAAACACAGTTGCCTATGTCCTCATAGTCACCTGAACATTTTATTGGTTTAAGCATTGGAAGAACATTAGAACTAACGGACCAAAACTTGCATTTGCTTATAAATCACTTCTTTCTCAAGATCAAAAACTTAAAATTTTATATCACTCAAAGGCCTTTGAAATCACTAGGGAGGCCACCTTCCTTGGATGAAACCAGGTCCTGTTCATCTTTCTACTCTTATGGCCCCGTGGAGTGCCAGACACATTTGAGATGCTAGCAAGAATAGAGTAAAAATGTGTTGGTGCTGGTACTGACATTTTTAATCCCATTCCTCACATGGAATGTTTTGGTTTTTTTGCGGTACGCGGGCCTCTCACTGCTGTGGCCTCTCCCGTCGCGGAGCACAGGCTCCGGACGCGCAGGCTCAGTGGCCATGGCTCACGGGCCCAGCCGCTCCGCGGCATGTGGGATCTTCCCGGAGCGGGGCACGAACCCGCATCCCCTGCCATCGGCAGGCGGACTCTCAACCACTGCGCCACCAGGGAAGGCCACACGGAATGTTTTTGATAAACCAAGTGTGTGTATGATTTAGAAAACTTGCCATTAGATAGTTCCTTTACTACAAATTTGCCCTTTTGCTTTTACTGGAGGTCATAAATGAGCTTGGCTTTTGTCCTCTCCTGTCCCAGATCCACAGGGTGTTTTCTCAGGGGGCAGCTTCTCAGGAAGGGACCATGAGCCGAGGGGATTTCCTTCTGTCAGTCAACGGCGCCTCATTGGCTGGCTTAGCCCACGGGGATGTCCTGAGGGTTCTGCACCAGGCACAGCTGTACAGAGATGTCCTCGTGGTCATCAAGAAAGGGAGTGACCGGCCCAGGCCCTCCATCAGGCAGGAGCCTCCCATGGCCAATGGGAGGGGCTTGCTGTCCAGAAAGCCCAGCCCCCTGGAGCCTGGAACAGGTAAGGTACCAGCAGGGGCCTGAGCTATTTGTAATGACTTTGCTGAGAATGGCACTGATTCCATGGAACAAATGAGAAACTCTTCTTGTCCAGATGCGTCCATGAGTGTTGGGGGTGTTCTCAGTCTTCCCTCTGCTCCGTCGTCTTGCTCTCATTCTTCTAGAAAGCTAAAGCCCTTCCCAGTACAGGGAAATACCTTATTTATCAGACCTTGTCATGCTCACCTTTGCCCTTGCACTGTCTCAACTGTTTGGTGGTTTTTTTTTTTTTTCTTCTTTTTTTTTTTTGGGCCACGCGGCTTGTGGGATCCTAGTTCCCCGACCAGGGGTTGAACCCAGGCCCTGGCAGTGAAAGCGCTGAGTCTTAACCGCAGCCACGCCAGGGAATTCCGTTTGGTGTATTTTCGGTGGGATCCTGGAAACGTAACCTGTCAAAGGAAACCACTGGGCACTTAGTCCTAACAGCTTTCAGAGTTTTTAAGACTCAGGAACTCAGATATGGAAGACTATCCTGAAATGGATAATCATTAAGTGTTCCTGTGGCACCTTCAGGGCATCTGGCCTTGAACCAACCTCTACAAAGTTATCAGATTGCAAAAAGCACATTCGGGGCTTCAACTTATTTCTTCATATTTCTATTCCTTCAGATCCCCCTGCCTGGGGCTCTAGCAGAGCCTACGCAATTATGCCTTAACATGCACTGAAAGCAGCCCACTTGGGGCTTGGTGCAGTAGGCTTGATGTTAGAGGCACCTGGGAAGCTTTTAAAAATCCTGATCCCCAGGAAATCCCCCAGCTCAAACTCTGAGGGGTGTGGGTGGTGGGATGGGGGGACCAGCATCCACGTCTTCTTAAGGTTCCCCATTCAAAGGCAGTGATTCTGGCTTGGCCTCAACCCCAAGTGGACAGTTTAATCTGTTTGTGGTCCTTCCCCTGCCTCCCAAGCAATTAAGTGCCCTTTCCACTCGATTCAGACATCCTTCACTGATACAGCAAGCAAGTAAGGGAAACAAAAGGCAAGTTTACAATCCCTACTCAGACGCCCAAGATAGACCCCAGCCCAGCCTCTCCACACTAGCACACAGAGTAGGCACAGGCTGGTTGCTATGAAGCGGGCGTCACCAAGGAAACGCTCTCCCCACAGTGGAGCCAGGAGATGGCAATGAAGGCAGCTAGTGTGTGATGCAGACGGCCAGCCAGAGGCAGGGGGACCCCTCACAGGAGCAGAAGGAGAAGGAAGGACGCTCCATGTCTCGTGTGAGGCCTGGCATTTGGGTGTTGCAGGTTGTCAGTACCAGGCTGTGATGCTCTGCTGCCGTCGGCTGCCAAGGTTGGCAGGAAATCAAATCTGATTCCCCAAGCGCGACTTCAGTCTTCACTGAGATGTGCACCGACTATCTGGGGTTGACAAGAGCAGTTTGGCTTCCGGGGATTTTTGCTTGGGCATAAATGCCTTCTCTGTGCTTGCAGAAAGTGCTTAGGGGGGCAAGGGACAGCAGGAACACAGCTCTAGATTTGGGAGAGCAACCCTAAAGTTGGTCTCAGATGTCGTTATCAGCACTTCAAGGTGGACGGGACTCGAGGGTGCCTGGGGAACACACTTGGGGGCACCGGGCAGGAGGGGCTGCGGTTCCCTGTCATCATCATCCTTACGAACACTGTCGCTGCAGGGAGAAGCACAGGTGCACACGAGGCTCTGTGTGTTGAAGTGCTGAAGACCTCGGCTGGGCTGGGACTGAGTCTGGATGGAGGGAAATCGTCTATGTCTGGAGATGGGCCCCTGTTCATTAAAAGAGTGTACAAAGGTAATGTTCTAGAAACCCCAATCTGCTGCCTAGTACCAGTTCTCTCTCTGTGTATGTCCGTGCCTTCCATTTGGAAATCAAATTTGTTTTAAAAAATCTGCAGTGTGTTTAATGCTCTGTGACATACAGGGTTTACTGTGTGTCAGCCCTGTTGTGGGCATTTTACACGTTTTAACTCATGTCATCCACATGACAGTTCTATAGGATGGGTACTATTATTATCATCCCTGTCTTACAAGAGAAGAAACTGAGCCACAGGGGAGTTATGCAGGCACCTAAGGTCACACAGATTAAGTGGCAGAATCAGGCTTGAACCCAGGCTCCAGAGACTGTGCCCCCAACCTCAGTACTGTATCCCCTAACTCCATGCTCCTGTCTTCGTGTTCTTACTTACGATTAGCTGTTATGGATGTGAACACAGCAAGCTAAGTAATGCCATCAGAATTGCCAGTCAGGGGTACTTAACATTGGTCAAGGTCATATTCACTTAAAATTGCAAATACTTGATTTCAAGAAAGTAATATGGGAGCAGTAGATATCACTGAAATAGTTGGTAGATATGAGGTCTCTTCATGAACTTAAATAATGCATTTTATGATCTTGGACCGTTCTCAAAATTATCTCTTCAGGTCCCTAAGCTGAGCAATTATATTATACTAATGATATATTTATATATATACATACATGCTGATTATCCTATTATATGTAATATTTTATTATACTATAATATTGTTTCATATATTCAATGTATATTTATAATAATGTTAGTATTAAAACATATACATATATACTGATACTGTTAATATAATTCAGCTGAGGAGATTTTTGGGAACTGTCCAGTATCATAAAATGAATTATTCAAGTGTATAAAGAGATTTCGTATCTGCCAACTAGTCCAATGATATCTACGGCTCCCGTCTACTTTCTTCCAGTCTAGCACACACTCTAACTGTAAATGGGTGGCAGCCAGAAACAGGCTGTTTGCTCACGGTCCCTGGGGCAAGCAGAGGACAGGCACAAATCAGGAGCCAGGCCTCTGCTGTGTGTGATATCTGGACTCACGGTACCAGGGTAAAGGGAAAACCCTATACATGTTAACTGGACAGCAGTAGAACACAGAAAGCCAAGTTAAGGCAAGCATGAAACTGTTTGACTATAAGAGCACTCTTAAGAGCTCTAAAACAAAGCGTACAAAGTACATGACGAAACTGCCAACAGACACAATAAACAAGAAAGTCCATTAAAAAATTAAGGCAGGAATATTAGCCATGAAACAAGACAAGAGGGTATTCAAAAGAAACAGGCAGATATGTTAAAACAGACACACACAGAGAAGCCCATTAGCAAAAAGGCAGTCAAATATATTTTTAAATTAATAAATAGAATTAAAAAGTATACTAAATCCTTACAAAGAGAGAATTTATAAAAATCAAGAAAGAAGAAACCATAAAAACTGCAGCACAAGGGAAAAAAGAGATAAAAATTACAAAAGGGTGATGAGCAATGAGGAGGACATATTGAGGAGTGCCAGAAAAAGAAAGAAAAAAAAAGAACGCGAGAAAGGAACTATTTGGAGAAGTCATGACTATTGAGAAACAATGGGAGTATTCAGGCTGAAAATCCTCATCAAGGGCAAAACAGGATGAATTTTATGGAAACCCAGACCTTGATGTATCACAATCAAGTTTCAAAATATAAAGAACTTAAAAAGCACAGAGAAAATGTGCAGCTTGCTCACAAAGGCAGTACGATCAGACTGGCAGCATGAATGCCGGGAAACAGAATAACCTTCAGAGGACTGAGCCTACAACAGCAAGATGGAGGTGTTTAGGACACACAGTGAAAGGTGCCGGAGTCACCGCCACTGTGATCAGTCACAGGACACGCAGCCTCTGCAGGCCAAGAAGCTCACAGCTTAAAAAGGATTTTCTGGCCTGTGAGCCAAACAAACCAGAAACTGAAGGTGGCTAAAGCAGCAGCCCAGGTGGAGACTGGGAGGCCAGGTCCGGAATCCCATGGAATCTGCAGCACTGAAGTGGAGAAGCAGCCCCAGGGGAGATAAGCATCCCCCAGATCTCCTTCCAGCAGAGCAAGGACAGTGTCCTGGGTAACTTCCTGGCCTTTGTCTCTAGCATCTGGCTAGAAATCCATGAAACTATATAAATGGATAGAGAGGAGGAATTGCTACAGAGAAGCACCTGTTCCACAGAGGAGCATTTCCAGTGCCCTTGTGTGCAGGCCTGCAGATTGACTCTTGGGAAAAGGCATTCAAGGCTTTCTGAATATTATACAGATCCCTCCCCTTCACTCTTTTTGGAGACTGGTAAATCTACTTTCTTTGTAGAGGCTTAGAGCTCTGCCCAAAGATTTCATCATCTTACCTTTATTTCATACTTACAAATTTAAGTACAGGTACAGGTTTTCTGTTTATCTTGGTTTCCTGTGCCTTTTAGCTCAAACACCAAAAGCAGTATAGCAATCTTCAATTTCTTGCATCAATCTAATACAAAAAAATTCTTTGAATAATAAGTGAATTAAATATATTTCCCTAAAGCTATCTGGAAGGTCAGGGATTTTACTGATGAAAAATGCAGTAGACAGTTATTTGTAAACTCTTGTGTGAAGCGGCAGCCATCCGGGTAGAACAGTGTCACTACTAATATCTGGGCTGCTTTGTAAAAAAATGTTTAACACTTTAAAAATGTTTTGTTTTGTTTTTTATTTTTTTTTTACTATGTTTGGGCTGCTTTTAAGATGTTTTTGTATTCAACATTTTACCAGGAATATCAGTTAATACAATAAGATAAGAAAAAGATAAGAGGTATAAAGATAGGAAATACAGGAATACAATTCATCATTATTGGCAAATTGTCCGTTCTTCCTGACTGAAAAAATCTGAGAATCAAATGTGAAGCCAATATAAATAGCTCACCAAGATCGCTGAATTCACAATCAACATACAAAAAAAAAAAATCAATAGAATTTCCTATATATCAGCAATAACCATTATTTTAAAACCCTATAGGGAGGATCCTATAACACAATACACGTCATGAAAGAATATATATATATATATATATATATATATATATATATATATATGTAAAATGTTTAACTTCTATATGGCAAAAAATTTCACAAAAACACATCGTGAAAGAATACATATGTAAAATGTTTAACTTCTATATGGCAAAAAATTATATCATAAACAAATAAAATCGAAGTGACTGACTAGAAGATATTTACAATGTATTTAATCAACAAAAGGCTAATTCCAGGATATATAAAGAACTATAATTCAGTAAGAAAAATACATGGGACTTCCCTGGCGGTCCAGTGGTTAGGACTCCACGCTTCCACTGCAGGGGGCACGGGTTCAATCCCTGGTCAGTGAACTAAGATCCCACAAGCCACACAGCATGGCTGAGAAAAAAAGAAAAATACTAAATAAAGAGAAAATCTGGGTAAAGGAAATGAATAGAAAATAGAAAAAGTTAAAACCTAAATGGTCAAGAAATATAGGGAAGGTCACTCCAACTTATATTAGTTATTGGGTGAAAATTATAACTATTAGGAATCATCTTTTTAAAATCAGGCTGGCCATAAATAAGAAATCTCATGATATGATGTGTTGGCAAGATGCAGGGAAAGAAGAACACTCATACTTTCTGGCAGAAGTATAAACAATCGTTCCTCTCTGGGGAAGAATTTAGCAGTGCTTGCTAAAATGGAAGCTATAAAACAGTTTAAATTTCTATCTGTAGCAAAATGATGAGTAAAATGTATCACATCCATAAAAGGGAAAACTATATAGCAATTCAAGAAGCAAGTTAGAGCTATATCCATTAACCGGGACCAGTTCAAAAACAGGGCTGAACGGGGAAAAAAGGCTAAACGCAGATTCAGTACTGTATGATACCAATTCTCAGTAACGACCGTAAGGAACCTAAGAGTGTGTCACAGGAAAACTATGCAAGACCTTTTTGGAAAAAAAGATAAAAGTGTTCTAAATTTTTCTTAAAACCTCAATAAATGGAGAGAGACATAGCCTGATCAAATTAGTTAGGATTCTCCTTGGCCCCATGTAATAGAAAACCCAAAATAACAATGGTTTAAAGAAAAGTTTATTTCTCTCTCGTGTATAAGAAGTCCAAAAGTTGGCACTACCTTTGGTCTGAACAGTACTGAGTGGTTCATCAAGGACTTTCATCTGCTTCATCTCATTAGATCCCTGTAATAACCTAGTGAGGGAACAAGACAGGCTAACACCATTTTGCAGATGAGAAAACTGAGGTTTCGGGAAACCTGTAACTTGCTTGAAGTCGCATACTTGAGCCCAAGCCAGTCTGACTGCCTGCAGGTATTCAACGTGCTTTCCCCTAACTCACAGCCTCCTGTTTGGGTTGGTTGGAAGCCCACGTCCTCAGACCAGATGAACACTCAGAAAATTCTTTTCGTTTCACATAATCTGCTTCAGGCCTTTAGGTAATACTCCTAGAACGGGAAATATGCTAACGCAGTATAACTGGGCATGTCAGACAACAGTGCTTTGGTACTTCCAAAAATGTGTATCTTGAGAAAGCAATGACGGGGACTAAATCAGTCTCTCTGTTCCCACTGTAGGACTGGTAACGGTGAAGGCTCACCTCTTTTCCGATGACAGCATCTGCCTCTGTCATTAACAACATCAAATGTTTTTGTCCTTGAGTGGATTGCATTTGAACTCACTTTCTTCCAGCTGTATTTTTTTATTTTGTCAATCTTTATAATCAACTATAATTACATGTGTATTGATATCAAATAATATTTAACAGTGATTTTTGGGAATTTAGAATGAAGTAGATTTATCTCCTCAGTGTTTTGAGATCTAATTAAAGATTTCTGAGGAAATTATTTTCAAACTTGGGAATTTTTCTCTTTTAATGTCCTTTCTTCCGTAAGATGAAAAGATGCCTGCACGGCCAGTGTGCATTTCTTCAATACGATTGTTTTAGATGTGCATGTGCAAGGAAGTAAATAGAAAAGGGCGTAAACTTGTGTTTTTTCCAAAGCTCATAATCTTGCTCTAATGTACCCAGAGCTGTAGTGTAGAAATCTGTTAAATTTTGTGTAAGTGATAATTTAAGTAATCTCCTCAGTCATTGCTGAGCAGGTAATCACATTCTCAGCATGTGGATATATCAGACTATACTTGTTAATGAGTAGAAGTTGAACTTGCTTTATTGGTCATTTGGATTTTTTTGGTGTGTTCTTTATTGATTTGGAGTTCTTTAGCTTGGCTAGATATTAACTCTAATGTTTCATTTTATTTGTTGACTAAATACAATGAAAATATCTTCCTGTAGTCAGTTGCTTATGTTTCGGGGAAAGAAGGGTTACAGATTTGAATTTTTTATGTAGTCAAATTTCTTTTTTTGGGTATTTGCTTTGTGCGTCTTGTTTAAAGAAAATTTCCCTCTCCGAAGAATATAGGCACATGGTTTAGAGATATTTCTCACTTAAGTTTTTCATTTACCTGGAATTTATTCTGGATATTACGAAAGTACCAAACTATTATTCTGTATTTATTCTCTCAGGTGGTGCAGCTGAGCAAGCTGGAACAATAGAAGCTGGAGATGAAATTCTTGCCATTAACGGGAAATCCCTGGTTGGGCTCATGCACTTCGATGCCTGGAATATTATGAAGTCTGTCCCAGAGGGACCTGTGCAGTTAGTAATTAGAAAGCACAGGAATTCTTCATGCAACAAGCACTGGTAGTGACACTAATTGCGCTTGTTACATTTTTTATTAATCAGAATCTCCTTTTCTCAGTTCCCTTCTTTCTTTAGCAAATCAGAATGACTTCTTTAAACAATGGGTTCCTGAAACAACACAGAAGCACTGGTGTGGCAAGGACGATAAAACAAACAACTCTCCAGTTTTTTACTTACACATGAAGCAGCAGCAATGGAGCGGAACTCAGAAACCTTCTGCCTGGATCACCTAGGCCAGGAGGGTTCATTCTGTTCCAGTGCCTGTCCCCTGACACCTTCTATGTTTCCTGATGGGGACACAAGATGCGGCATGCCCTTCTTCACTTGAAACATTTAGTGAGACCTCCGCATCCTTCTAGCCACCTCTCCCAACACACTCAATCCTGGCAACTAGGGAGGCTAACAAAGTCTGAGGGGCAACACAAGTGTCACAACTAAAAAGGACTATAGTTTTATATAATTTTGTAAGTAAGTAAGTAAATGACAGAATGCTTTTAGGCACATTCAGTGGAAGGAGCGGTAGGGTCTGTATGTTATCCTGAAAAGAAAATGAGACTTGAAAAAAGAAAATCAATTATGACCTAATGGTTAGACTGAGCTCAGGAATTATCCAAAAATGAAAAAGCAAAATACAGAAAGTGGTATTTTTAGTGAGTGTAATGTGCAACGTATGGCTGCATAGTTTAACTAACTCGGTGGTTATGGATCACCGTGAAGTGTTGATCATGACCTAAAAGTGTACGTCGTAAGGCAATTTTACGGGAATGCAGTTCTGATAAACTGTACTAAATAGCTGTGAACTTTGCTGCTTAGAATGAGCAGACAGTTCCAGCTCTGCAAGCACCTTGCATCTACTTTGAAACTTGTCTTGAATAAATATTTGAATTCAAGACTGGTCAACAAAAGAGCAGGCAAAAATATCATTGTCACTGAGTTTCCATTTCTATATTTTATAGATCCAACCACTAATTTAAAGTTTCAGAAAGCAATTATCTTTTTAGTGTCCTTGGATTTATAATCCCAATAGAGGAACTTAAAATAATCCTTTTAGGGGACTTTCTTTTCTTTGGCTGATTTTTTTTTTTCCCCTTTCTCTTCTCAACAAGCTTAAGAAATGTAACATTTCTAAGCACTGGATCTATTTTCCTGACCTGGGTGTAATGGCATAGCTCTGCAGTGACTGAAGTTTTTGCTCTTTTTGTTTTCCTGTTTTGCAAATTCTTCCTTTTGCCAAAAATGTTTCCCAGCAGAACACTGCTGTGGCTCACGCTTGCTTGTGACACTCGTCCCAGCTGCCCTCCTGAAGCACAAGCAGCTTCTTAGTAACTGTTCCCATTCCGCGTGCTGTTCCTCGTCACAAAACTGGCTCTTCTCCCTCGTACTGTACCTTCTTTTCTTAAGACCCAAATCCTCATCAGCTTCATTCACCAAAACATAGTAAGAAGGTGGAAAACGAGGGTGAGTCAGTCTTTCAAGGTAAAGGAGCAGAACTGCGTAGTTACAAGCCACATCCTCGGTGGTGCAGGCCAGCTGAGTCCTGGGAATACGGGTGAGGTTGCATACCTGCGTGCATGGTGACGCTAAGGTTTTATGTCGGCGATTTCTTTAATTAACCTATTTCTGAGTGACTAATCCCAGTAAACCTCTATGGAGCTGGCCCAGAGAGGTTCTCAGACGGGAGTGAAATATCTGGCTGGTGTGAGCCGAGATTTCTCATTTTTAAACAGGTTATACAAAAGAGAATGT